CTCCTCACTTCCGGGGGCGGGGCAGGGAGGGAATCAGGAAGTGATGAGAGAACCAGAAACAGGTTGCTGGGGGGTCTATGTCTGCCACCTAGGTCCTGATCCCCAAAGGTCCCATAGCCTCCAAAGCAGTACCACCAGGTGGGACCCAGGCGCTCAAGCACATGGGATTGTGGGAAATGTCTCACACTGAACGTGTAACAAGCCCTTGGTAAGCAGGGGTCCAGAGTGTGCACACAGGGAAGCCCCAGCAGAAAGAGGCTTCCCAGAACCAGGACAGGAAAACCTGCTTTCTAAGTCATGACGGCTAGGTAGCCCAAGGGGGTGCTGTGTGTAAAACCGGGAGATGAGAAGCCCCAAGGAGACTGCCGGGACACTAGCGATGAGAGGGGAGGTTACCCACTCTTGGTAAACTGAGCAACAGTTTGCTCTCTTTAGTGATTCCAGGTGACAAAAGAAGGATGGGCAGGGGGATTTTCAGCACTGGCTGATGCTACAAAATAGAAATATGGAGAAGGAAAATGAGGAGAGTAATGGATGTAGAGATGCCAGCCAAAATCCATACTGAAGGAACGCATGTTGTTAGGGTCCCAGGTGACAGTCCTGAAGATGACTGTCCACTGGAGCACGCTGCTGGGAGACAGCACAGTCTGCCGCCTAGTCACCTTCCCCAGGAGGACACAGACCCCACCAGGAAAGCAAATAATGGCTCTCTGAGTAGAAGGTGGAATGGCCACTGAGAGTCACAGAGCGATGAATTCCAAGCCAGCCAGAGAGCTACATCCTTGTCTGCCGCCGTTGGGGGAATCCGTGGTACCTTCATAGGTGGCTGTGAGCTCGCTCGGCTTCTGTGACCTGCTTAGGGAGTATCAGAGTCAAGATGAGGGCGGAGCAGGTCCTAGGAGTTGGCCTTGGTTAACCCACAGCTGTATAAGAAGTGGCTTGCTATTACGGAGGGGTGAGGGCTTTCCTATGGCTCAGCCCATTCTTTTACCTTCCAGCTGGGGCTTTGTAGCCAGAAGATACTAGGATTTCTCTCCAGGATGTCAAAATTCTGGGATTGCACCTGCTATTGAACAGGGATGCCGTAGTTCAGAGCACTGACTGTTCTTGCAGAGGATCTGGGTTCAGTTCCCAGCATCCACCGGGCAGCTCACAACTGCCTGTAACTCCAGCTCCAGGGGATCTGATGCCCTCTTCTGGCTCCTGAAGGGATTGCATAAATATGTTGCCCTTACATGCAGGCAAAATACTCATGCACATAAAAAAATAAAAATTAAAAAAGAAAAAAAACACCTCTGATGCCCCAAAGTGCATCCCAGGGAGGCAGGTGAGGGGTGGGGGATGCTGCATCCATCCATAATTCCAGCCCTCTGTCCCTTACTACTCCACACAGAGTAGCCCTGATAGCCTGGGAGGACAAACGAACCCCTCCCCCATAGGCTGCTCCCTGGGGCTTGGTGATAGCTAGACTCACATTCCGAAAGCTGCCAATAAATGGGCTGAGCTTCCTCCTACCCTTTGCTTCAGCTCAGCCCCTGATTTCCACATTTTAAGCATCACTCAGCTGATAAAGAATGCAGATTCCTAGGCCAGCTTCCAAATGTTCTAACTCACTGGATCTGGACGGGGTCCAGAGAGCCACATTCTAGCTAACACCTTCTCCATCCCAGCTCAGGGCTCTCAGAACAGGCTAGAAGATGCTGAAGGAGAGGCGCGCTGGCTCCATGGCTGCCCTCCCACCCTGTCTTGGGACGGGAGCTGTGTTTCACCCGACTGCTTCTCCAGAACTGCTCCCGGTCTTAGACTCTTGGCTCATTACTGGAGCTCTTAGCCACAGTCCCGAGCCACTGAACCGGTGAGCCAGCAGGCTGCATGTCACCTGAGCAGAGGACTAAAAAGTAGGCCATTGTGCTTGGCTGGGCAGATCCCATCCCCTCCCCCAACCCCAGACACTACTTCCTTTCCTGCCTCCCCCATAGAGCCCAGCTCCCAGCACCCACTTCCACCAACTAGGAGAGAGACCTAGGATCAGAGCTCTGCAGGCAGACAAACATGGAGAGGGGCTTGGGAGAGACACAAAAAGGGAAGGGGGTGTTCAGGAGCCCACAGCGGAGGGAGGGAAGAGAGGAGGAGGATAGAGGGACGAATGGGCCAAGCCTGGGAAGCCGCCAGATATCAGCCCATTGGGGCCAGGGGCCAGCCTGGGCCGTGGAGGAGCCAGGACCTTTAGTTAGGGTTGGCCCAGCTGAGCCCGCAACCCTCTTCCTTGACTTTATAAGGCTCCCACTCTGGGGTGAGAGGGTGCAGCGTGTTCACCCTCTGCTCCTGCATGCTCAGGCTCCGTACTGAACACACGGGAGTCTTCCTCATCCAACATCATCTCTACCCGACTTTTCCTGTCTCTTCTTCTCTGCCCTCCTCTGTCTACCCCCTTTCCTTCTCTTGTCTTTTTTCCTCTTGTGCTCTTCTCTCTTCTCCAATCATGCCTCTTTCCTCTAACTTTGTCTCTAGCTGCTGTTCTCTGTTGGCCTTCGCCAGCTTCCTTCTGTGTGACTCTGGCTACAGGGCTCTACCACACAAGCTCTGTCTCCTCTCATCTCTGGCTTGGGTTCTGCACCCTTATTACACCAGCTGTCTCTCTGCCTCTGTGTCCCCTGTCCCACAGGCTGTCTCCTTCTCCAGGGTAGCAGAACTGTGTGGCTTGATGTCTGGCTCCTGCCTGGGCTGGGCCATGGGTACCCACAGATGCTGACCCTCTGGCGCTCCCTCACAGCTCACACCAAGCTGAGGAAAGCACAGAACAGAAGCAACAGAAGCCACTGAGCGGTCGGAGGGCTCTCTACCTGGGTGGACTTGGAGGATCTGGCACCCAGGCAGCCTTCCCAGTCCCAGACTGATTTTCAGGCTTAGCAAGCTTCTTGCCTCCACGCTCTTCCTGCCCTGTCCACGAACCTGCGCAGACAAACTTGAGACAAGCCTGCGAGAGCCCAGTGAACTCAGTTGAGGACTATGACTTTACCCAGGGGAGGAAGAGGAAAGAGAAAGGTCCTGCTCCCTCTCAACCCTCCCGGCTTCTTAGCACTTTCTGGGGGCTGACCTTTCTTCCTATTCCCCCCTTATAGGGGTGGCCGAGTCCACACACCTCTGTGCCCAGATCACTGTTTTATGGTACCTCTCTTTGCTTTCGCCTGACAAATGACAATAGAAGCAGCGGCGGCAGGGTGGGGTGGGGGGGGTGTCTCTTGGTCTTCTGAGATCATGGGAGAGGTGGGTCCTGCTCAGAGCTGTCTACACCTCAGCTAGCCACTCTGTGGATGTCTGATAAGCCCTTGTTGGGAGAGTTGGGTGCTGAGCTAGATGAGGGGACCCGTGAAGGGCAAGGTGACTTATGCCCACATTGGGCTGTGATGAGGTCAGCCAGGAGAACTGAGGAGACAACAAGGCTGTGAAGGAGCCAATAGGGAGGTAGCTGGGATGGGGCATGTGACAGAGATGACAGATGTCAGCTCTGAGAGCCCATGGCATGTGCCAGCCATATTGTGATAAGCTTCTCTTGCCAGGAAGGTCTAATGTTGAAAGGATCAGATCTGCAGCATGACCATGTCCAGATTCCTGCCACCCCACCCAAGACCCTGGGAATAGAACACCCAATAAGGAAGTGAGGGGGTTGTTCGAACAGGGAGAACACTCTGTGCAGGTTTTATCCTTTCCAGGCAACCTAAGAAAAGGGGGGTTTTGGAAAGACTCTCCCATTTGGAGACCCCAGTGGGGAGAAAGGTACTCCTAGTCAGTCTTGATAGGACAGATGCTACATAACATTTATCTTCCCCCATTTTTTTGAGGTAGGCTCATTATGTTACCCACACGATCCTTCTGCTTCACCCTTCTAAGTAGCTAGGACCATAAGTATGTGCCGCCATGCCTGGCTCATCCATCCCATCCATCCCATTCATAAGTGTTGTTTGACCCTCAGATCCTATGGGGCTCAGTGAGAACTTGGATCCAGACCAGAAAGGCCTGAGTTCAGCCTTCCACTACCCTTGGTGGTGCTGGGCACCAGCTTATTGTAGTTGGCATTTTCTTTGGGCTGCCAGCCAGCTCCCAAATAAAGACATGGAGACTATTATTAATTATAAAGTTCAGCCTTTAGTTTATGCTTGTCCCACTAGCTCTTATAACTTAATTTAACCTGTTTCTATTCATCTACATTTTGCCTTGGGACTTTTTACCTTTCTTTCATTTATATGTCCTGGTTTCCTGTTTCCTCCATGTCTGTGTGGCTGACTGGCCCCTGGCATCTCCCTGAGGTCTCCCTGTCTCCCTCTGTCTCTCTGTCTCTTCATGTCTCCTTTCTTCTTCTTCTTCTTCTTCTTCTTCTTCTTCTTCTTCTTCTTCTTCTTCTTCTTCTTCTTCTTCTTCTTCTTTTCTTTCTCTCTAAGCCTAAATTCCTCCTACTACTTATTCTCCCTGCCCAGATGGTCTGCCTGTACCTCCTTCCTTTCAATTGGCCACTCAGCATTTTATTAGACCAATCAGGTGCCTTAGGCAGGCAAAGTAAAACAGCAACACATCTTCACATAATTAAACAAATGCAACACATCTTTATACAGTTAAACAAATGCGACACATCTTTATACAGTTAAACAAATGCGACACATCTTTATACAGTTAAACAAATGTAACACAGCTTTGCATAGTTAAACAAATATTCCACAACAGCTCATCTCTCTAGGCCTCAGGTATTCGGCTGTGGGACAGAGACAGCAGCCAATAGCTTGCCTCCCAGGGCTGCTGCAGGTGACAGATGGCAGGAAAAAGCTGTCCTCCTGGATTATTCGGAGGAGACCCCAGAGGGATATGAAAAGCTCTAAGAGTCCCCCTCCAGACTAGAAGCAAGCCAGGTCCCCCCACTCCCCCGGGGTGGCTTCACCTCACCCCCCAGCTCCAGAGGAGTTGAAGGGGGCTGACCTTACTCACAACCCCCTCCTGCTTGCCCTCAGCTGCGTGGTAGATGAAATGGACTTCTCCAACATGGAGCTGGACGAGGCCCTGAGGAAGTTCCAAGCTCACATCCGCGTGCAGGGGGAGGCCCAGAAAGTAGAGCGACTCATAGAGGCTTTCAGGTGAGAGCCCTTTCCCAGCTCCTCTCCCTGACCCCCCAAACACCCCTGACTCCCGGGGGACAGAGGTGGTGAAGAAGAGCTGCCATGATTCTGGCTCAGAGATACTGAGTTGGGTGAAGCCCTTCTGGTATAGGTGGGAAGGTGGGCTGGAAGAAAAAGGATCAGAATCCTTTAGTGAGTCCTCCAAGCTGGGAGTCACCTGGGACCCTCCCAATGGATGCCAGCCCATTTTACTAAGCACATACAGGGGGTGGGTATTGGGGGATGGACAGCCAGTGATCTCCCTGGTCCCCAGACCCTTCAAGAGCTGGGGCTGGGGAGCTCATGGTCCTGCGCCACACCTCCACAGCCAGCGCTACTGCATGTGCAACCCCGAGGTGGTGCAACAGTTCCACAACCCAGACACCATCTTCATCCTGGCCTTTGCCATCATCCTTCTCAACACCGACATGTACAGCCCCAACATCAAGCCCGACCGGAAGATGATGCTAGAAGACTTTATCCGAAACCTTCGAGGTAAGAAGCTGGACTGGGTAGGTGGGGTAAGGATGCTACACAGTGCAGCCTGCTCCTACTCATGTTAATTCTGTGAATATGAGCCCTAACTGTAGATGTTATTTGTTCCTGAGGACAGAGTCACCCCTAGCAGGCTGGGGAAGTTGCATACTTGCCAGCGTATGGAGTCTCCAGGTGCCACAGCCCTATCCAAAGTAGCAGGGCCTTATAGCAATGCCTTCTGCCTTCTGATGGCAGTGTGGACCATCCCCACTGGGTGGTCTCCAGGCCATTGGCACTAGACTGATGTCTGGGTGAGACCAGCCCCTCTCACCTCATGACTTAGGAAGAAAGAGACTGGGAATAAACCTTTCCAGTTCTGAGTTCCTTGAATTCAACTTTGCAGGTCACTTGATAGCACCTGCCAGTGAAACCTTTCCAGTTGATACCATGTTCCTCTCATAGAGACCAGATCAAAGCTGACAGCATATAGTATCTGTAACATGGATAGCTTTGGGCACTAAAAAAAAAAAAAAAATCCAAGTGCTGGGAGTGACACTGCACACCTGTAATCTCAGTACTTGGGAGGACAAAGCAGGAGGATTGCTGCTTGTTCAAGGCCAGGTTGGGCTTCAGAGTGAGTTCAAGATCAGCCTGAGCTACAGAATGATACCTTGTCTTCAAAAATTAAAAGAAAAAATAATCAAGGTTATGTATGTATATGCTCAATAAAGTAAAATAATTCTACAAGGTTCATTACGGAAAAAAAAATAGAACCTGCCCCTGTTACCACTGCCTTTCCTGCGATCCACGCTTTCAGTAGTTTTCATTTGCCTATTGATCTATTTCGTGGTGCTGGGCTAGAAGCCAGGGACTTCTGAATGCCAGGCAAGCCGTCTGCCACTGAGCTACATCCCCAGCCTGTGGGCCATGTGCCTACTGTTCCTTCCATATCGATAAACGGCATGCTGTTTCTTTCTTCCTACCCCTTCTATAAGCACAGACTATAAAGATATATAAATATGACAAGAGTTTATATTCACAGACGCCCGTGTGGTCACACCTGTGTCTACAAACTGGTCATTTCCATCACCCAGATCTCTCTCTCTCTCTCTCTCTCTCTCTCTCTCTCTCTCTCTCTCTCTCTCTCTCATCCCGCCTCACCTGAGACACTTTCCTGAGCTTAGCATTGTTGTGCTTCAGTGCCGTCGAGTACTCTGAGATACAGAAATGGAGTCACACAGTACAGATACTGTGGTATTGGGGGCGGGGTTGTACTTAATAATTTTTTAAGTATTGTTTAAATTTCCTATTATGTAGAGTTTTTTTCCACTTTCTTCATGCACCACCACTAAAACCAGAGCCAGGATAGGAAAGCCAAGTGAGCACAGCCCAAAGCTGAATCTTGAAAGCATCACGGCTACAGTTCTACCATCTTCCTTGGAGTTGGTACCTGCCTTTGTTTTCAATTTGGCTTCCTATGTTTCTACCACTAAACTATCTGACTGCATCCTGAGTGTCAGTCTTTTAGATGGGGCAGTACCCTAGCCATCTCCTTGTCAATGTCACCATGACATCTCCTGGGCCATATCCCTGGTTCCCGGTCATCATAGCTTCCTTGTTTTCAGTTGTTTGCCAAAGAAAGGGCACACTGGAGACAAACTGGTAACCTGCGCTTTGAATTTGCCTTCCTCTGCCTTCACGTGGGACTGGGAGTGAACTGGAATAGAATCCCAGCCTGGAAATACATAGGCGAGAAGTGGGCACTGTCCTGCTCCGCATTAGCTGAGGTGCTGCTCTCCCATCCAGTTCCTGGCCTTTGCAAGGTTGCTTTCCCTGTGTCTGAAAGCTTATGGTTCTTCTGTTTGCCTTTGTGTAGGGAGTTTTCACAATGATAGGCTTTTCTTCATCCACTATAGTTTTGGACCAATCATTTTAGTCTAAAAATGCCCAGCTGTGTGAAGTTTTCTGAGACATAGTTATCCTTCCATGTCTTCAAGGAATTGTTTCCAGGACCTGTTGGGTGTTCAAGTTGTGCGTGTGCGTGTGTGTGTGTGTGTACATTGGCATATATCCTTCACCCTCCTTTATACTCTAAGTCATCTTTAGATGAGTTTTAAGACCTAATACAATTTAAATGCTATGTAAACAGTTGTTATACTGTATTATTTAGGGAATAAAGACAAAAAGAAACATCTGTACATTTTTGAGACAGATGTAGTTCTTGGAATACTTTTGATTGACAATTGGTTAAAGCAAAGCTATGTATTCAGAAGCAGTTCAGTGGTCACTCACCTTCTCCATGTTCTCATCACTCTTTCTTGAACCCCTGTAACTCAGGTGTCGGATTCCTGTTTCATTCACTGTGGATAGGATTTTTCTATACAGCCATTTTCTTGGCTGGCTTTCTGGAAGATGCTCCTCAGCCTTACCTCTCAAGCTTCTTCCTCACTCTTCATTCCCATGATCACTATACTTTTTATTTCCATCCAAAAGCTCTTTTGCTCTCCAAATGTTACCAGTATATAACACTGGGGAACAGGCAGGCGGGTTCACTGCCTGTGCCACATCAGGGCATCAGCCTCCTCTTTGCTTCCTGCTCAGCTCTTCCATTCCCAGTGAGGGAAGATGCCTATCACCCATTCCACCATTCCATGGCACCCGTGCTTGGTACCACGTCCCCTGATAAAAGGGAGGGGAAGTCCCAGGGAGAAAAGACCCTAAAGAGGACAAGACCGATGATCTTCATGCTCATGGAGAGACACAGGGTGAGGTCAAGGCAAATGCACAGGAGACAATAGAAGTGTGGAAGCAAAGATGCTTAGTGGGAGCCTGGGAACCACAGGAAATAGGCCTAGGAGGCAGGAGCAGAGGACATTAGCAGGCATGGCTGAAAAGTCTATCTTTCCTTTAGTGGGGGTGGGGAGCCAGTTGTTAAAAGCTTTAGGTCAGAAACAAAACACAGTCAAGGCCACCTTCCTGGTGCTCCAGTGTGGAGAGCAATCGTGTCCTTCTTGTCTGAGGCTCTGACCCCTCCGCATTGGTAGGTGTGGATGATGGTGCTGACATCCCCAGAGAGCTGGTGGTAGGCATCTATGAAAGGATCCAGCAGAAGGAGCTCAAATCCAATGAAGACCACGTCACATACGTCACCAAGGTGGAGAAGTCCATCGTGGGCATGAAGACGGTAAGTGACCACGCAAAGCAGCACTCCCAGAAGCTCTTGACTTCCCCTCCATGGCGGGCTACCCAGCCAGCCAGCCCCTGTTTCCTGTCCTTTCTTCCTTCCTGACATCTCCCCCTTATCTTTCTCAAAGACATTTCTCTGTGAGCCATGGATTGAGTTGAATTTGTGCTGTGTGTCAGGCACCACATCCTCTTTTTCCCTTTGCATAATTTCCTCATCCCTCTTGCCACCAGCTGCTGTTACTAGAGTGGGATGTCAAAAGAGACTGGCCAGTGATCTAAGGTTGAAGCAGGTGGATGGCCAGTTGAGAAAGTTTAGGATGCACTTCATAGGAAGTAGTGGGTGGCAGGCATTCCTGGATGGTCCCAATGAACTACCTAGACTGTAGGTTATGGCAACCTGAGTCTAGACAACGTGTTCTAATGTGCAGTGAGTTTTAAAGCTGGCAGCCTCTGAGGCACACTGTGCTACTGGCACCTTGCACTGAGCGTAGGTAAGGTGGGGCAGATTCCTAGCCCTCCCTCTGGAGGGTGCCTTTGAGCTCTGCTTGTGAACCACCCTCCTCTGTGCAGGAAAGACCTTCACTGCAGAGCCTCCTTGGCTGAGGACTCAGTACTTGTCTGCTCTGCAAGCCAGTTGATATTTTAGTTATTAGATTCTGGGCTTCTTATAATCCCCTTTCCCTTACACACTTGTATTTAGTATACAGTAAAGAAATGGGTAGGGATTTCACACATGAATGCTCATAGAGGAGGAAAAGCTGACGGTAGATTTTGAAAACTCTGAAGGCTTATTTCAATTTCTGTTCCCCATCCCGTGATCTCATTACACAGGCATAATGAATTTCCTCTCTGGATCTGCTGCCCTAGAGGTGTGATGAAGGGAACAGAGGCCCCCCATGAGAGAGAGGTTGAGGGGCAAGTGGTGGCCTGTGCATAGGAACAGAGCCCAATGCCCACTCCCTGGACCTCCATCTCCTCTTCTGGAAAATGGGTGCCATGGTCTGGGAGGAGGGCCTTGGGGTCTCTGGGGCTTCACTACAGAGCCCTATCTGGGTTCCAGGTGCTGTCCATGCCACACCGCCGCCTGGTCTGCTGTAGCCGGCTCTTCGAGGTGACCGATGTGAACAAGCTCCAGAAACAGGCCGCACACCAGAGAGAAGTGTTCCTCTTCAATGATCTGCTGGTGGTGAGCAGTACAGGCCAGGGTTGGGCAGGAAAGAGCTGAGACTGGTGCTGTCCTGAGTCCCTACCTACTGGGGCTGGGCAGGGCACGGCTAAGCACAGAGGTATTGGGCAGGGAGGACCAAGACTGTGTCTCTGAAGGATATGTCAGTTCCTACTTGATAAACGATGAATCTGAGGCACAGAGACAGGTCAAGAGGAAATGAGCTGAACCCCAGACAACCTGCCTTTCCGTGATACAGAAAACCTGGGGCAAGGCACACAGCATTGGCATCTCATTCCTGCCTGGAAGGTCAGCAGAGGGTCACTGTCCCAGGGAGAGGCTGGAGAGCATGTGTATGTATGGTGTATTTGTCTCTGAAAACAAGTGTCCCACAAATAAGTCTTTAATCCATCCCATTGTGCCTGGAGTTGTCCCCAGTGCCAAGAAGCAGGCAGGGGTGAATGAGCTCCCACGGATTTGTATCCTCTGGCCTTCTCCGTGAGTCACATGGAAACCTCTGCAGGGTCCCACAGAAGCACCTAGCTCTCTCCACCCTGCCATTCTGGCCCAGTGACTCTCTCTGGTCCTCTTTCTGCAACCAGAATACAGGAGCACTTGGTACCTGTCACTTGCAGAGCCAATGAGAAGAGATGGGAACTGAATCTTCAAACTGCTTTATCCAGAGAGCAGATAATCTGAGAAAAACCTATCTTCCATCTCATCTCCTCCCAGCAGGTTACATGGGGGCCAGGAAGGGACAGCAAAGGCAGTGAGTCATTCTGGAGCTCTGTCCTGTCCCCCTGGTCAGGCAGTCACTAGGAGGACTTGTGGTGTCTCTGCTTCTCTTGTTCCCACCCCTGACCTCTTCCCTCATAGGGTAGACGTTTAGGCTTGGGCACTTAGAAACACTGAGTCTAATTAGTGACTGTTGGTATTAACCCTGTATTCCTGCAGGAACATGGGATTTAGGAGGAGGAGCTTAACTCAGAATAGTGTGTGTGGACAGCCATTGATAACATATACATGCTGGTTCCCTTTGCAATATGGAGTACAGCTGTGTCTGTATAATACAGGATGTTAAAATGCTCCTCTCGGTCCCTCCTGTCTCCTACCACTTCCACAGAGCCAAGGTACCTTTCTGAAGTGCACATCAGAGCCTCCACTCTACCAGGCTCCAGCCTGATCCTTTACCCCAGGGTCCCCCAACCCCAAAGATCTCTGAGCTCATTTGCTACACACCCTGGGTTGCTCTCACACTCCAGCCTCAGGAGCTGCCTCCCACTGGCCAGACCTCTTTCCTCATGGCCCCTTCCTTCTTCTCTGGGCATGGTCACCTCCCTCTCTTCAAGCAGGTCTCTAATTGAAGGTGGCCTCCCTGGGTGGCCTCTTGCTCAAGCAAGGCAGTCTGCCCAAGCACTTTCTATTTCTAATCCCATTTTACTTTCTTCAAAGCATTTCCAAGTTTCTGAAATTACCTCATTTGTTCCTTTGCTTTGCTTTGATTTTGCTGGGTGGGTAGAGAGGTTTTTCTCCTTAACTGTCTTCCTCCGCCATCCCATGAGCCCCTCGAGGGAAGAGCTTTCTGTCACATCTATTCCTCTGCACCCTCTGTGCCTTGCTCATCAGAGGTACTAAATAAAATATGAGTTTATGTATTTGAGCAACTGGTGAACTGATCTCTCATTTTAGGCAGAAACAAAAATTGAATATTTAAAAAAAAAGAATGGGAAAACAGATGAATGAGACCATATCCAATCAGAGGAGTGCTATGACATCTATCCTGTGGAGTGGCACAGAGTGACTGGGTTGCAGGGGAGACTTGGGGCGCTGTGTTAGTTTGCAGGTTCAAATGGGATTTGGGGAGGAGGCTTTCTCTAAGGAGCATTTTGTGTTAACCTAAATAATGAGAGTAATCTGGCCATGCAGAAAGCTGCCCAGGGAGCTGTAGAAAGGGAATGGCTGGGATAGGACTGAGCTAGGCTGCTTCGAGCTGCAAAAAAGAGAACAGTGTGATGCCAACATAAAGCCAGCATGGGGACAGAGGCTGGCTCTGGGAGGACTTACAGGCCAGGGCTTCTAATGCAGAAGTAATGCACTCGGGTGGTTTTAAGCAGGGAAGGCACATGTGCATTGTGCCAGGTTGTGGGGGGTGACTGTATCCGATGTGCATAGGTGTGCATCTTTGTGTATAGGCAGTGTTCACAATGTCTGTGGGTGTTGGTGCCTGCCTGTGTGCACACCTATTTACAGGAGCCCGCTCATCTGTTTCTGTTCCTCCCCTGGGCAGATTCTCAAGCTGTGCCCAAAGAAGAAGAGCTCCTTCACATACACCTTCTGCAAGGCAGTCAGCCTCTTAGGCATGCGGTTCCACCTCTTTGAGAATGAGTGTGAGTCCCCGGGGCCGGGAGAGTGGGAGCTTCCCCTAAACCCTAGTCTTCCCTGCACCCGACTGCCTGAGCCTCCCTCAACCTCCCTCGTGTGCTCACTGCTGGGGTGTGGCTGGATTCCAGATTACTCCCATGGCATCACACTGGCAACTCCACTCGCGGGCTCTGAGAAGAAGCAGGTATTGCATTTCTGCGCCCTGGGCTCCGACGAGATGCAGAAGTTCGTGGAGGACCTGAAGGAGTCGATTGCTGAAGTGACAGAGCTGGAGCAGATCCGGATAGAGTGTAAGGACGGGTCCCCGGTTCCCGAGGCAGACAGTTGGGGTCCCTCTGCCTCCTGGGAACTGCCGTGCCTGCTGTGCCCCAGCCTGAGCCCACTCCCACCCCTTGGACTCCTAACATTGCTGCAACATCCCATCCCAATGTGGGGTTGCGCCACAATTAAATTGAGCCCTACCCTCCCCAAGTATACACACGTGTATGCATGTCTGCCAGCCATGTGGGGTACACAAGGGCCTTTCTCACCTAGAACACTGCTGCATTGGCCAGAACAGCCAAGGGAGCCGAGGAAGATTGTCCGGGGTGCGGGGGGGGGGGGGAACACAAGGTGGTTCAGCTATATTCTGCTTACATTCTCAGGGGCCTTCTAGTTTTGTCCCCTTTGAGGAGGTGACCAGTGCTGACACTGATGGCATATGCAGTTGAGTCCGATGCTTAGCCTCATGGCTGAAATAAGAGGTTCTGTGTCTAATCTCCTAAGAAAATACTATGAGACTGAAATAAGAGGTTCTGTGTCTAATCTCCTAAGAAAATACTCAAAATTGGGCTCAAATGAAACCCAGAGCACAGGAAGCTCCTTGGCAAGGGGGTGGTAGTCTTTGGGTACATGCTGGTTTTGTACAACATTGGTTTGCTTGGACTCAGGAGTACCACAAATAGACTCTTGTCAGGGGCCGGACTGGTTGCATAGAGGACCCAGTGTGGCTATTTGTTCTTGAACATTCTCAAGGGTGTGTCTTGAAATGGATTTACTTTTCTCCTGATCGGAATGTCGCAAATGGCTCCAAGCTGCTTAGAGAGCCGCTGCCCACCTGGCCTCAGCTGGACTGAGGGAAGGACTTTTGTTTTAGTCCAAGGGCAGCCCAGACGTCCTTTCTCAGAGCATCTGAGGAGCAAATCTGGTCAGAATCCATTATATCAAGTGGGAAAGAAAACAGCTTCTGCAGCTGCCTGGGGGACAAGAAAGCTGGCTGGAAAGCAGGCAGGGGGCTAGTTCTCAGTCTTCAGACGAAGAGAAGGTGGGGTGACAGAGGATGACAGAAGAGGGCTGGCCATTGAGGCGGGCAGGGGAGGAAAGGAGTCAGTAAGGAGGCAGACGGAAGTAGCCACAAGTAGCCACCATTTAAGTTCCTGCTACACACCTGGCACTGGACAGATGTCAGGGCCCATCATTTAATCCTACGACTTCCCATGTATCCATACTGTTCTCTTCCTCTTACAAGCAGGGAAACTGAGGCCAGCAGAGCTTTAAAAGGGAGCCCAGGTTTTCACAATGAGTGACAATGAACATCACACCCAGGCTCTTTAGACTCATGTGTAATTACGGCACTAATTCCTCCAAAGCCAGAAGGGCCCTCCTGGGCCAGCAAGCAGCTAACTCAGGAAGAACGCACTGAAGTGATGGATGGTGTGGTTCTGGCACCAAGGACAAACTGCTGGTCTGGACGCTTACTGTTCAGTATCCCTGGATCCTAGACAGCCAGAGAAACAGCAAATGGAACCCAAGTGGATAGTTTTAATAAAGGAAACTTGAGTCATGTCCCATGGAGCCAAGAAACTGAGAGAACACTTTAATAACACCTGTCAAATCTACATGGATGGCAACGAGCAGTTCCCTGGAGCCACTGGGAGAATAAACTGGATAGCTGGTGGAGCAGAGAGGCTCCAGTGGAGGGCCGACTGGGACATGTGTCCCGGCCACACAGGCCATGCAGTCTACCCCCTGGGAGAGCACTGAGCACTCTGCAGGAAGCTCAGCATCTGGGGGGGGGGCAGTCCTGCTAGGTGCACATGGATGGACTAGATGCCACTAACTGTGCCTAGGGACTGCACGCTGCATTTTCTTGCACACTGTCTGTCCTACTGCTAATGCATGGAACACTCGCCCAAGCCTGGGCCTTGTTCTGTGTGTTTTAACCTCAGGTAATCTCCCTAGCGGCATTGGGCCCAGCTGTCTCCCCAAGCAAGGCAGAGTAGGCTAGGTAACATGCCTAAGAACCATCACATCAGTCCAGGGTGTCAACTCCAGCTGTCTGCCTCCCTGTCCCACACCAGTCTCTCATGGCCCCTCGGGCAGTTAAGCAAATCTGGCCATCACCGCTCACAGATATAGTGCCCTGAGAGATTTAACTGGTTCTCAACGCTCAAGCCCAACCTGAAGTCCCCGGCAGAGTGGGCAGGAAAGGGCTCTCCTCCCTCCTCCCGCTGTCCCCATATCCCCTCGCTCACTGGGGGCGATTATGAGGGACGCTTCTGTTCACAGCATCTCCCTTCCTTAGGGGAACTGGAGAAGCAGCAGGGAACAAAGGTGCTCTCTGTCAGGTCTGCTGGAGCCCAGGGGGACCCACAGTCGAAGCAAGCATCACCCACAGGTGAGACTGGGCTCTGCCCTTACCCGGCCCATGCAGAGGCCACCACAGTCCCGTTCCTGGCTCTGGGGGCTTTGGGTGGGGCATGCTGTTTCTCCAGCTATTTCTTTCCATAGAGGAGCCCCAGGCTTGGGTCTCTAACCCTTAGTCCTAGCTCAGGGTGGAGAAAAGGTGACAGAGAAATATATCCAGTTTGTAAACTGTCCCCAAGAGCAGGGCTGTATGTGAAATGTCACCACTTGCCCCTGGAGTCAGGCCAAAAACCCTGATGTCCTAGATTCAATCCAAATGAGCCTCAAACTCTATTTCTTAAGTGGTTTCTTCAGATGAAATTTCCCCACTAGCGGAGCAGAGTCAGGGTGAGCTTAGGACTCAGTAGTTCCTCAGCTCAACCCTGAAAGCTTGCTTGCCCCAGCCTGACTCTATCCTTTCTGTCAGCTACCTCAGTTTTACCCACTGGCAGGGAGTGTGGGAAGTGGGCTTTGCCCCCCACCCTACAGCCCCCTCACAAGGAGGAAAAATTAGAAGAAAAACAGGAGATATCCAGAAACCCCATACACAGCTCGGGCATTCGTTAACCCACTCAGTCTCATAACCCACACTCAAAGTTTATAGCATAAGCACCGAGCATCCATAGGCACAGGGCAGCTCCTTGAGCTAGGAACACAGTGGACTCCTACAGTCCCAAGTCTCTCTCTCACACACACACACACACACACACCTCTACAGCTAGTTCTAATGCCACATTAGGGATAGACAGCCTCCCAGGGACTGGCTGAACCAGCCAAGACAGGCCATTCCCTCCCCTGGCAAGGTTTCAGGCTCTGTGCTGTGGAAAGCATCTCTCTGAGTTATCATCTACAGGTTGCCATAACTCTCCACCCACCTAAACCAATAGCCCCCCTTTACTTCAAAAGGACTCAGATGTCAGGCCACTGCCTGAGTGTTACCACCATTTCTCTGCTGAGATCATTCACCCTTCCAGCTTCTCTTGGGGGAGCTGCAAGCCCCTGTCAGATCTGGGTGTGTGTCTCCGGGGTCTTGCCCGTGGTGCCCCGGACTGTACAGGTTCCTCTGTACCTGGGGAAGCAGAGGGTTGAAAACTGCCACCCTGGTGATGGGGAGTGAGAAACTCAAGGGTTAAGCTTCAGAAGTCCTTAGCCAAGAAGAGTCATCAAGCTATTCCTGGGGGTCCACAGGGGGGTCCCGGATGCATACCAGGTGGTCCCTAATTACAAGCTGTCAACAGCTCCATGGGTGGCAAGCACTGTGGTGGCCATGCTGTGGGTAGATCCTCAGAACTGCACAGTCCCTCGAAGGCGAAGGCATAGTGACCACAGCAAATGGCAGCCCCGCCTTCAAGGAACCTATGGTGGAAGGAGGGGCATTTACATGGTGCCCACCAATCAGGGCCCACTCAAAAGCCAGGTTTCCCAGATCATATTGGCAAGGGTTGGACTGGGAGAAAATGACTCCCGGGGGCAACTGTCAGAATTCCAGAGGCCTCCTAGTCTGTGGCGGCCCAGAGGTGCAGCATGCTATCCCAAATCACACAGCTACTAAGTGACTCCGGATATCCAGCCTGCTCTGCCTGGCAGCACCCGGCGGAGTGTGTGTGGTACCCACACTCTTGCTGCCCACCCCACTAGGGGCAGAGACGTTGGATGGGGAGGAGGAGGGCCGAGGGTTCCAGGGGGGACCGGTGGAGAATGAGCCCTGTGCTGTTTGCATTCAAAGCCAAAAGGGAAGCCATGGCAGGAGAGAGAGCGGCGGAGAGCTCGGGGGAGGTAAGTGGAGGCCTGGTGGCATCCAGGTGAGTGATCCTGTGACCCCCTTGTCCCTCTTCTCACCGTCTCTGTTGTTTCTCTTCTCAGGTATTAATCAATGCCTCCCCAGCCCGACTCACCATTTTACCAATTTCAAGAGATACCATTAAAAGTTACTGCTAGCATGGGTAACGCCACTCTTCCAGCGCCTAGTTAAGCCACAAGCACTGCCAAACTGCTCCCCAGCCAGCCAACCCGGCCCACTGCCCTCCAGGGCCAAGCCCAGCCCGGGGAGATGAACCCACAAAACTCTGTGGCTCTCCCTTCCACGCTCTTTGCACACCCACTTCCCTAACCCACTGCTCACTCCCCCAAATACTACATGCTGCATCAGAGGCTCAATGGTCCATTTCTAAGCCCTCCCATCCCCTTTACAGGGAGCCTGAGCTCCCTCCCAAAGTCCTCCCTGAAGTCAAGTCCTCCATGATCACTCCTAGGGACATTTGGATACCTCCTGGGTAAACTGGAGGAGTGGGATTGAGACAGTGAGAAGGACTGTTTCCCTGGAGCACTAGTCTCTGGAAAGCTGGCCATGGCGTGGGGGTGAGCACAGGAGAAAGGGCGGCAGAGGGGGGTGGCTGAGATGCCTCAGTTTCTCCTGGGGGATGAGCTGGTAAAGCTGAAGACCCTCCCCACTGGAGGAGAGGCTGCCTGCGTCTCCAAGCCACAAGGGAAAGGAACCTGGAAGTAATAGCTGGCTTCTGCCAGAGCCAAAGCAGCCCCTAGAGGCAGCTTACACTGCCTCCCATTCAGACCCTCTCCATGGCTGCCAGGCCTTGAGGACCACCAGCTGCTCATAGGCAGTCCTCTCCCACACCCTCTAGCAGGAGAGGTCCCCTAGCTGTGAGGGAGGAGCCCACCCAGCTGCCTGCCAAGCCCTGGGGAGCCGCAGGATACCTGGGAGTTCAGTTTCTCTCTGTCCCCGCACCCCACCCCCCACGTGTTTCTGGAGGAGGCACCTTTGCCCGGAGGAGCTTCCCGCCCCAGCAGCTGACCAGCCCCCAGGGTGGGTATTCCATCCCCTGCCCTGCGCCCGCATCTTCCCGCAGCTGCCCATTCTCAGCCTTGCAGATAACCCTAGCCACCAACCCTCCAGCGCATCCTCCCGGCGGGGCTACCGAGGGAGGAGAAGCCATAGGATGCCCCTCGTCCCTCCTACCTGCCCAAAGGGCTCACATGGCTATCTGCAAGGCTGCCCCTGCCCCTCCAGCTAGCTCCAGGGACCCTGCCAGCCTCTGCTCCCCTAAGCAGAGGGCGATCTGGCCACCCCATAGCCTCTCAGCTTAGCCCCAGCTCCCTCTCCTCCTCCGGCACTGCTTAGCCAAGCCCCTGTGGCAGACACTCCTCCATCTTCTCTGAGCTCTTCTGACTGCTACCCATGTTCATTCTCTCTCTCTCTCTCTCTCTCTCTCTCTCTCTCTCTCTCTCTCTCTCTCTCTCTCTCTCTCTCTCTCTTGCTTTTCACTTACTGAGTCTTAAAGGATCTGGGCTGGGGTGGGACTGGCATGCAGATGGAGGGGAGCAGAGACTGTGTGCAGGCTGAGGCTGAGGGCTACATAGGAGCAACTGAGGAGGAAGGAGAAGGGAGGGGAGGCTCGGCGGCCCTGAATCGGGTAGCCCAGCACTGGCGCACCAGGCACAGGGTGCCTGTGTGCTGGGGATTGGGAGGCAGGGAGGGTGAGCCTCATCAGGCTGTCTCAGGCCACTTCTGGAGAATTGTTCCGAATACGAGTAGGCATGAGGTTAGCCTGTGCCTTGGTGACATGGTCCTTCTGCCTATAACATCCCCAGATAGGACGGAGACACTGGCCATGCCCTCTGCAGGCTGTGTGTCTCAACAGCAAGGAACTCCGGACACCTCATCCAGGGTGATTTCAGGCCTGGGCAATGCTGCTAAGATGCGGAGTGAGGGTGGAGAGAAAAAGCCTTGTGGAAGCTGATGATGGTGCTTGGGCTTGCGAAGCTTGAGGGGCACAAGCCTAGGAGAGAGATCCCTGAAGTTACACCTTTAGGCAATAAACAGGACTGGTAAATGCTGCTCTGGGCCTCTGACAGAGTGTGAGCTGTCCTGGCTCAGGCCTAGAATAAGGTCCTCTCTCCTGTGGCCTCAGCATCCCCACTCTGTGGCTTGAGGAGCTGGCCCTACAAGGTGGCACCTGGAAAAGACAGGTCCTGTAGAAAGGATCTTCAGAGAGAAGCGTCCCAGCCACCCCTGAAAGGCACCTGTGTTTGGAGAGGATGGTGGTGTCATAGCTACCAGCTAGGGAGATGGGGGATGGGGTAGAAGAGGATGAAGAATTAAATCTTTCTCCTCCCCTTCTGCCTACTTCCTCTACCTCTTCTGCTAGCAGGAGGGGGCTAGATGTGTTTCTGCTCCCAGGCCTATCGATGGGAGCCTTTCATGAGTGAAGTGTCTCAGATGCAGGTTCCAGGGGGACAGATTGTTGTGGGGTAAGGGCTTTATTAGAAGAGTTATTGACACTCTGGGCAGAGACAGATGAACAAGAGTGAGGAGAGGCCCCAGCACCAGAGACAGACCACGAATGGGAGTCTGAAGAGAGGAATCAGGGCCCATATGGCACAAGTAGGGGGTCTCTTATCAGAGCCATCTGAAGAAGCGTGGGTCTGCCACCAGGCTTTCTGATTCACAGGCAGGACAAGGGTATGTGGCCATCAATACCCAGTTTGATGTTAATGTACTTCTCTGGGGACTCAGAGGCAATGCCCTCAGTGGGCACCTCTTAGTGTCGGGGGGCGGGGGTTGGGGTGTGTGATCCCAGGTTGAGGAAGGTGGAGGCAAATGGATCCGGAGGGGGGGGGGGGGGGGGGGGGCTGCTGCTGCCGGTACTTGGTCTGAGCAGCAACCCTGGGCTCAACTCTGTAACACCACATTCTTACGATGAGTCTGTCTGGGCCACCTGCTCCTGACCCATGCAAGGAACCAGGATGGGGGCTGTCCATCTCTCTGCCTGTCACATGCAGATCTAACCAAGACCAGGTGGGACAGGAAGTGATGGGGACTTAACTCTGCCCTTGACGGTCTCAGCAGCTCTCACATACAGGAGCCACGGCCTTAGGGAGTGTAGGAAGACAGGCTAGGTTCGCAGGACCCCTTCAAGGTCCCCTGGCATCCTGGGCACAGGCACCTTGATGGCCGTTTAAATGATGAGGCTTCCTCCTTAATCACACCCCAGGCCACTAGGAGGACGGACCTGTGTCTCAAGCTCAGGGGGTAGAGAGTAAGTACATAGGGAGAAGTTTTCCCTGCAGAACCATCTCACAGATGATGAGCCTGGGGTCTGGAGAACCATGGCTGTCATGGGCAGTCTCCATACTACCACGAAGAGTAGTTTTAGAAGCAGTTTCCTGTGGGTGGAGAGACCAGCATGGGGTCTATGCCAGGCTTGAGAGCATCCTGTGGAGAGGTCTGAAGGGAGGCTCCGGGAGGCTTGGGTGGCCAGCCCCAGCAGCTGGGAATTAGTGGTAACATGTCATGCTTCTCTGGCTGTTTCTAAACTAGGTGTCAATTCACAACAGGCTTCAAACGTCCCAGCACAGCCCCAGGTTGGGGGCCGAGAAGGGAGAGCCAGCACCGCCATCGCCACCATCACCACCGCCGTTGCTGCCAGACCCACAGCCTAGCCCCCTGAGGGAGCAGCCCCCACCGCTGCCGCCACCGCCGCCACCCACACCCCCAGGCACCCTGGTGCAGTGCCAGCAAATTGTCAAGGTCATTGTCCTGGACAAACCCTGCTTGGCCCGTATGGAGCCCCTGCTGAGCCAGGCTCTGTCCTGCTATGCCTCGTCCTCCTCAGATTCCTGTGGCTCGACACCCTTGCGTGGTCCAGGCTCCCCAGTTAAGGTCATCCACCAGCCCCCACTGCCCCCACCCCCACCCCCGTACAACCACCCTCATCAGTTCTGTCCGCCAGGCTCTCTGCTGCTCCGGCGCCGCTATTCCAGTGGCTCCAGGAGCCTGGTGTAGGCTCTACCCTTAGCACCCCACTATCCCAATGGGCTGTCTATCCTTCAGGAGCTTAGGCTGCCCCCTTACCATTCCTCACATCTTGGCATAATGCCTTCCTGGCCACTGATCACTGTTATGGAAAGAGAATGCCCTGGCAAGATGGTTTGCTTGACCTAACCATCCGTCGCTAACTTATTGGAGTACCTCACCACAACTATGTAAGCACTTTCTCACTCTTCTAGGGGTCCCACATAGGCAGATGAGCCATGCCTTCTCCTCTGTGTTCACCATGTTCCCCTAACTAGACTATACATTGAAGGAAACAGAAGCCGAGGGGCCGTGGGCTGATAGGCTTGGAATCTTGATCTATTAACATTCATGCCTTGGGCCAGTGAACAAGAGCAAATGGCTGGACCTGCCAGCAGCACCGCCCAGGGCAGAGGCAGACTACCCCAGCGTAAGGTGTATCTCTAGCCCAGCTGAATAGAAGGAAGCTAGCCCCGGCTCTATGGAGGGGCCTTTGTCTGCTGCCCCAGCCATCCAAGCCTGTAGTGAGGAGACAGGTTCTTAGCTCCCTGGGGATGTTGGCTCCCTTCACCATGGCAGCCCTCCTGCCACCATCAGAGAATTCTGAGCTACCCGGAGCCAGGAAAGATCCAAGAAAGAGAAGGGGGCAGGGGATCCAGTTCTGTCTGGGTCAGTTCAGCAGCACCCCAGGACCGTGAGATCATGTCTACAAAGTGCACTTTTCGAGACCATTTCTTGGTTCTCTAGCCTCAAGCAACATTCAGCCAATACCAAGTGCACACAGGCAGTTATCCATAAACACACGTGAGAGCCGGGTTGGTTATTTCCTTGTGGAACCAGAAGCCAGGGGATGGGGTATGACTTGGCCTGGAGTCAGGGCTTCCTCAGGTATGACTCTGCAGCCTCTGCGTACACACACAGACAGGGGGAGGCAGTGAGGTCCGCGTCACTGTGTCACCTCTGCCGCCCTAGCCTTGAAATACTGCCTCCCTGGAAAATGCAGGCTGGCTTCCAGCAGGGATGGCGAAGAATTCCTGGACCTTCAAAACGGCACAGCCGAGCCGAGCAGGGCTCATCAACTTTCCAGGCCTACCAGGACCAGAGTCAGCACAGGTGGCCCTGACCCTACAGAGCCCCAGACAGATGAGGCGGCCCCATAAACTACAGGGGTGATGTCATGGGCTGTCACAAGCCAAGCCAGCCTCCTTTGTCCTATGCCAGCATCTATTTCTGGCCTTCCTCGAGATGCTCTCCTAGTCATAGCCTGTTTTTAAGGTTTCCCAAGAGGTGAGAGGCACAGGGGATGCTGCCGTGGTTGGGAGTGAGTTGGCTTCTCCTGGACCCTGCTGTACAGCCCAAGATTCAGCACTCTGGACCAGATAGGTGGCATCCAGGCTCTTAGAGGAGCCAAATGACCTCCTTTCATGTACATGCGTGTGTGTGTGTGTGTGTGTGTGTGTGTGTGTGTGTGTGTGTGTGTGTGTGTGTGTGTGTGTGTGTGTGTGTGTTCACCCAGAGGTCATTATGATGTCACCCGGGGAGTTTCTGGCCATTTCTGTAACTTTTGGCCAATATGCTATCTCCCCAGGGGCTCCCAGCCTGTGTTTTTCTGAGTTGGCTGCCTTGGGCCCCTCTGGAGCACCCATATTTCAGGAAATAATCACAACCTGTCATAGCGGAACAACTGACAGATAGGGTGCACCACTTAGACCCCTCACCCATCTGCACCGGGGCAGAAAGGACTAGACCCCAGGGAGAGCAGAGCTTTGGGTGGGATTGGATGAATGAGAGGGCAGAAAATAGAAGGAAATGTACGACTCACGGGGGGGGGGTGGTGGTGAGTTATGAGGGTGTCTAAGTGTGTTTCTGGAGTAGCAGTCATGACGTCAGGGGCTGATGAACAGGGGCATTAGCCCTGGAAGCTCAGTGTTGTCGAGCCCTGCCTCCTGCTCACATCAGGCTCCAAGCTAACAGCATCCTCTGTCCCTCCCGCCTCAGCTGAAGCCTGGCTTTCCCGATGAGCTCCAGCTCCAGGAGAGATTTGGGGGCTGGCCCACATGAGCTGGCTCTGAGGACCCCGACTCCCAGGCACCATGCCCTTTCCTCCCAGGAGAGCTTTGCCTAAGGTGGTGGTTGTAGCTGACCCCAGACGCTGCTGGCAGGAGCAAAGACCAGCACAGGAAGCCACGCTGCTTGGGATCACAACCTGGACCGGTCCTGAGCTAGCAGGGCTTTGAGCCCCAATAGCCCAAGGGCAGGAGCGGGGAGCTGGCCCCCCTTACTGGTCAGGTGAATTTAGAGCCCCCAGCCTGGATTGAGTCTGGTCACCCAACCTGCTAATGGTAGAATTCATCTGTATCTCCGTTCCCAGAGAACCCGGGAGAAGCCTCCTGCCTCCCCCCATGGCAGCAGCCAGATCAGGGCCACCGGTCTTCCTAAAGGCCCAGAAGGAGGCCCTTGAGACTTCAGCTGTCTCAAAGTTAAGGGAACAGTGGAATGCTGGCTGAGCTCACAGATCCAATCACCCCAAGATGCCCCCCTTCGTCAACTCTCTAGGCCTTACTTTGGGGAGCCTGGGTCCCTCTTCCAATTTATCCATTTGATCCCAACTCCAAAATCAAGTGGGAGGTGGAGCCAGGTTTCCTACCTACTTTTAGGCAAACCCACCTCCAAATGCAGGCCCCGTCTTGGCAGCCTTTCCTGGCAACCAGGATGTCTGTCTTTTCGTCTGCAAAGATGTCTTGCTCCCAAAAACATGTTTCGGCCCTGGATCTTTGACCCCCACCCCACCCCACCCACCTGTCCAGAGCCTGCCAGGATATCTCTGTTACCCAGGAGAGGTTCCTGATGCCATCTGTCTGTCTGTCTCTGCATCGGCTGTCCATCTTCCAGCGGTACCTCTCCTCCCCTGCTCACCCTTCACCAGATGGAGGGACAGCTCTCTGGGGACAGGCAGGGTGGCTGCACTCAGCAACTAATCCAAATGGCAAATATTTTGTAACAAAATAGCCCAGAGGTATTTTATCTGTTCAATTCATAGAGTTTTAGAGATTCTATTGAAATGTGCCACTTGAGCAAACTTGTGTCCATTGTTTCTGTCACTCGCGGGCGGGGTCGGGGGGGCGGGGGGACACGACACACACACCTCCTCAGATCAGACTGTCTCCCTTACTAAGGTCCAGAAAGGAGATATAGTGACCACCAGCCCTTGGGGATACCCAGCTTCTCTCTGGCCACAGCAGTCTTATAGTATATGGTGTCTTAGAGTATAACTCCATAAGGAAGCCCTGTCTTAAGAAGTTGAGGTCTGGGTGCTAGAATAGTAAGGACCGGACATCTGATGGGTGGGTACTGAGGCAGAGCTGAGGCAAAAGGTCAGAAGATTGCTCTGCAAGAGCAACCTGCCCCCATCCCCAGCTAGTACACGTGTGCATTCAGTAGAGAGCAAAGGCTTGAACATCCAGGTGTGATTTTCACCAACATTCACACCCAATTCTAGCACGCACTCCAGGGGATAGCTTGACAAAGCCAGGAGAACAGACTCGGGTGAAGGAATTGTGGGACACTGTGGTGGAAACAGCTACTGAGTGTAAGTGGGGCAGTGTTTGCAACCCCCTCCCGAGTGCTAGGTCCTGCTGGGAGCAGAAAGGGGATCCAAGGCTCTGGGAAGAACAAGACAAGAGCCAAGTAACGGTTATAAGAGTGGTTCAGAGATGGACACGGTGGCATACTCCTGTAATCCCAGCACACGGGAGGCTGAGGCAGGGGGGTCACCTTGAGTTTGAGACCTACCTGGAATGCATAGTGAGTTCCTTGCTAGCCGGAAATCTATACCAAGATACTGTAACAAGGACACAAACAAAAGACGTGTCTAGGAGGCCGGAACGAGAGCTGAGGGGAGAAGGATTTGAGTGCCTATTCACAGCTAAGGAGCTCGGCTCCATGGTCAAGGCAGGAGGTTGTTAGGGGTGCATCCTCCTGGCAGGGCCAGAGGAGGGGGCCTCAGCCATGCACCAGAGAATCTCTTCTGAGGAGGAAAATGATTGGCACCTGCAAAGAGAAGGCCCAGCTTCCCAGGTGACCAGAATTCTGAAGATCCAGACATCTAAACAGCTCCACAGGCTGGCTCCATGGTCCTCTATTAAAACCTTTGGGAACATAACTTCACCCTTTCTCAGGAAGTGGGAAATTCCAGAAGAAGCAGATACCAGCATGGACCTGTCCCATCCTGGGAATTCTCTGACCCGGAAAGCTGAAGCCTGGCCCCTTGAGAGCATCCACAAGGGGTTCAGCTGGGGTTAGGCCTGGGAGAGGGCCTAAGGCCAAGAGGACCCCAGGACCAATGATGCAAGCGGGCTAGCAGGCAGCTCCATTCTCCCAACATTCTGGCCCCTGCCCTGTGGTCCAGGAGAAAGGGCACCCTTCAGAAAGAAAGAGAAACCAGAATGTTCTAAAAGAGCCTCTGGGTGCATCTGCCATAGGTCAGTGCCTGTGATGGCACTTTGTAGATGGAGGGGTCACGCATTGGTGACTGACTTAGAAATTTTCCAGGGGTCCCAGAGTTTATGGGATTCTGACTGAAAACATTGGGCCAGAATAAGATGCTGGTGCCAGAGCAGGTGAATTAAACAATCAGCTCGTACCCAGCTGGCAGGCAGAGGGTGGGAGGAAAACGCATCACTACAGGAAAAGCTCTGCTCTCAAGGCCACACAAGGGAAATCTCGCAGCAACAAGAAATGTCCAGCTGTATCTACACAGTGTGGTGACAGGCAAGGGTGATGTGGACCCGTGTTAAACTGAGTATTCGAGGAGATGCTGTCCAAAGAGGGCAGTTTCTCCTGGTCAGGGCCAGAGAAACAGCCTGAAACCACGTCTTTTTGAGGTAGAAGCCAAGGTAATGTGCCAAAGGACTATGTCCTGATATATAAATTTACCTACACTGAAAAAAATCCACTAAGGTGTAAACATGAAACAACAAAACAAAGCAACAACAACAACAACACACACACACACACACACAAAAACACCCCACAAAAAAAAAAAAAAAAAAAAAAAAAAAAAAAAGCCTTTCTAGAATATCCAGATCAGATGATTGCCAGAAAACCCAAACCAACAAAGGAAGGGCCTGAGGGTGGGCAGGCAGCTAGCTTTGGGGGAGGCAAAACTGGGAAATGAGTACACTGCAGGACTCAGCTGCCACTGTGGGCCTGGGAGGCAGGCACTATGGGGTGAGGCCCAGCCAGAGCAGGATGCATTTGCATGACTCTGAGACCTGATGAGAGAGATTCCTCAGGAAAGCAGCTCTGCTGTCTCTGCTCTGACACTCAGATGACCGTTGCCGCCATTCTTCTGGCTAATCAGCCTGCCAAGTACTGTGTTCAGTGAGTCCTTTCATCCACCACCCACCAACTCCTTCCTCTGACCCACTGGCTCATACGGCAGATGAGGTTCCAGCTGTGGATGAGGAGTGAGGGGACACTGTGAGGACACCCCATCCCAGGGTACACCCATGACTGTCTGAAGCAAGGTCCATTCCACATCCAAGCAGTTCTCTGGGAGGACTGAGGCCCACCAGAGCCCAGGAGCCAAAGCATGGCCATGTTCTTTACCATTGCCCTGTTCTTCCAAGGTAGGCGACCAGGCCTAGAGCTAGGCTCCCGGGGAAGCAAGGAGGTTAAATTATCAGGGATGGGAGGAGGGCAGGTCCAGAACTAGTCCCAGTGGGAAAACTCCATCCTGGATTAGGCCAGAGGATACAGGCGGAGATGGGCAGGAAGAATGGAAACTCTTCCCACCCTGCTCCCATCCCCCACTCCCCTCCAACAGGTCTGTGTGCTCTGCTCCCTAGAGAACCAGCTAGCCCCTAGCAACTCAGGGCGCCCTGCTCTCACGACCTCAGGACAAAGTGACCTCAGGCCCACACTAGACTCTGGGAAAACCAGGGCTAGCTGCAGGGAAGGCTGGAGACCTGACATTCCCCTGTGATTCAAGCCCCCTAGGCAGACCTGCCTTGCTCCCTTTCCTAAGAGCCTCAGCCTCTTTCCCTTCAAGACATCTGGGCTGTGCAGAACTTGCCCTTGGGGCATGGAAGACTGGGGTGGGAGAGCCCTCAGCCCCCTTCATGGGGATGTAGGCTCCTTGGGGCTATCTACTGCAACTAACTAGGTTAGCTGTTCTTTTTGTGGATACCGAGACATCTAGCTTCAGGAGTGGGAGAAAGAACAACAGAATCATCCAAATCATCCATTTCTGTACGTAATAGAAAGAACGATGGAACTGAAAGCTCACTGGGTGACCAAGAAAGCTGACAAGCTTCTAAGGCAGATCACGACCCAGCCAGCGAGTGAGTACTAAAGTCGGAGCTATAAGCACTACCCAGGTCCCTTGTAACCAAACACTACAAAGAAACTGTAAACCCACAGCCATCAAAATGTCTTGCCAAAATGGTCAACCAAATAGAGCCAGGCATGCCTCCAATCCTAGTATCTCTTGGAAGGCTAAAACATGAGATTTGTGAGTTCGAGGACAGCTCAGGCTACACAGTAAGACACTTTCTAAAAAAAACCCACCAGGTTCTTCCTCACACCCCAGCCATTTTGACTGAAGGCCATTGGACACCTAAGGCAGAAAGATGGCGGCCACAAAGTACAACATGCATGCTGGGCCACAAGCTGACTCTGAAGGTGATCAGAGAGCAAAGCACAATGGTTCATTCTCTCCAGCTGCCCCGCTTTGAGGAAAGCTGACACAGGATACACAAGAGGTAGGCCAAAGCCACTGCCCATCGACACAGCGGCAATAATATTGACTTGGGCACAGCATGCAGAAAATACTACAGCGTGTACATGCTGGCTGCCATTGATCTGGGGGCTTCTGATGTTATTAGAAGCGTGCCAGCACAGACTGCGGGAGAGCAGAGGAGAACTTTCCCTTTAATAAAGCTTGCCAGAGTTTGTTTTTGAAAAAAATTCAAGGCAAGAGGGAGGAAAAAGTAATTTTGAGGTATGTGACAGTGACGGGTCATTTTTTAAAGTCTGTATACACACTCCCCAAAGCTCTACATGACACTGGATCAGATGATTGACTACGTTCTATGAACACTCAAGGAACAGAGAATGCTAACCTCACATGAACTCCTTCAGAAAAGACAGAACTAGTCCTAGCCCCCTCGTTTACAAACTCCACATAACCTTAAATACAAAAGGACCCTTCTCTTCACCTCTGGTAAGGACAATTTGGAGAGGAGAGTGCAGAAGCCAATCTAGCCTTAGGAGCTACGTACAAAAATTATACACAAAATATTAACAGACTGAACATGGCATAGTATGACCAAAAAAAAAAAAAAAAAAAAAAAAAAAACGGCATGCCATAACCAAATTGGGTTTGTTCCAAGAATAAGAAGCTGGCTTAGTATTAGAAAAATCTATTGGGGGGGGGGCCTGGGAGGAGAGGAGGGAGGGGAGACTGTAGTCGGAATGCAAAATAAATAAAAAGAAAAATCTATTTGTCTACTTCAGCCCATCACCAGAGTAAAAGAACAACACAGTATGGTCAGCCTAACAGATGCAGAAAGGAAGTAAGTTAAATTCAACATTATTCTGTTTGTTTTGTTTTAGTTTTTGATTTTTGAGACAGGCTCTCACCACGCAGCCCCACTGGCTTTGAACTCATGGTCCTCCTGCCTCAACCCCCTAATTGCTGGACCCCCACACCCAGCTCAACACTTATTAGTAATTTTAAATAGAACAGACTTGGAGCCAATGAAGCTTCATCGCTTAATACATGACATCCATCAAACACCTGCATCAACAATCTCACTCAGTGGTGAAATGTTAAGATTTTTGTCAAAACTGGGAAGGAGGCAAGGATTCTGCCTGCCACCACTTCTAGTCACTGGGTGATGGAAAACCAGGAAAAGAAATAAGGAACGGTGATTGGAAAAACATGACGGTTAATTCAGACAGCCCAACTGTCTGTGTGAAAAGCCCAAAGAATCAAGTTGAAGCTGCAATAAGGTAGAGAACTCAGATCCCCTGGTGGCTGGCTGCCCAGCCTGTCCTGTCAGCTCCTGTGTCGCTGAGACCCTTCTCTCCACAGCAGAACAAATGCCACCTCTTCTGTAGAGGCCTGACCCAGCCAGGATAAAGTGAGGCCCCTTTGTTTTTACATGGATGGATATCCTACCAGATCAGGTCTGCCCCGGGGAAGAGGAGTGTTTATAGGGTTTGGCCTCAGGGTCAGGCCTTAGGTTCTAATACAGCTTCTGTCCTCAGGCCGCTGAGACAGACAGAGCAAGCCTGTGTCTGTCAGTCCTGTGTCTGTCAGTCCAGGCAGATTCTTGTCACAGCAATGGGACTGGATGCTGATCTACAGATGGACCTGGCCATGGTGGGCTCAGGCTTTGGCATCCTGTCTGTCTATGGCAATTCTGTCTTACCTATCTAACCTACACACGGGCTCCTTAGACCAGATGAGAGAGCCAACCCCACTTATCACAAGAGCTGGAATCCAGATGCTGGGCCTAGGATCAGCCCACCTCCATCTGACACGACCTGCCAGGCAAGGCTCCTGCCGATTGTATTTGTTTCCCAAGCACATGTGTGCTTCCTGACCTTTCTCCATGGGTAGTTAAGAAGCTTCTCATCCCTGTTAGATCCAATCGGCCCTTGTTACTTCATTGAGCAGCTAAATCAACAAGGAAGCCATGTGGATTTGGTCACCAGGGGGCTAGACCTGTGCCAGCGGAGAGTGGTAGAGGTAGCCAGTCCCTTGGAATGAGGGGGAGCAAGCGAGATTCAGAGAGCCCTGGAGGTGCCCAAGAAGGTGAAGGCAAAGGAGAGGCCAAGAACACAGTTCTTAGGAGGGGGTGTCCACACAGACAGTTTACCTTCCATGGTCCAGGTGGCAGATGAGCACCGAGGAGGGACCTGGCTTGATTTCTAAGGATGCTCTCTAGGCTGTACTGGCAAAAACAAAAGGGGGTGTTGCTTGGCTCTGCCACCAGGTGGCAGGAAAGAGCTCCATACTGGCCCCACAGCAGGAGCCTGGACTTCCTGTCATAGCATCCAGCAGCGGCAGCAGGGTTTCTAAAAGTCCCTCTTTTAGACCTCCTTTTTTTTCTCACTAGCTGGTCCAATGAGAATTAGCAAGGTACCCATAGCAGCCTAGGAGGAGACAAAAGGGGCAGCCAGGAGCCAGGGCAGCTGAAGTACTCAGAGTTCACAGATGTTCCTTCTCAAAAGAAGAAGTCTTAGAGAGCTGGGTGAACGTGAGGATACTCGGAGGATGGCCTGAGGATGCTTGGGAGGACGGCCTGGAGGCTGTCTGAATAGAGCCACACTGGCCAGGCCATGGATTGTTACTCTAGCCATTGAGCATTGTCTTTGGGTAATGCTTATCTCTGCACCCTTTCTTGGGTGTGGGTCCTGTGCCCAGTGTCCTGGGTGCCCTATTCCCTCTCTTTCCTTCTCGTCTGAAAGCCCACCATGAACTCATCCATCTCCTACCTTCCTGGAAGCCTCAGAAGCCAGAGGCTATGTTATATGAGTTGGCAAGTGGGAAGAAATGGTTGGGAAGGGACCAGAGGAAGAGTAGGTAGGGAAAAGAGGGAGGTGTGTGTGTGTGCATGTGCATGTGCATGTGCATGTGCATGTGCGTGCGTGCGTGCGTGCGTGCGTGCGTGCGTGCGTGCGTGCGTGCGTGTGTGTGTGTGTGTGTGTGTGTGTGTGTGTTGTGTATGTTGGGGGGAGGGGAGAGGGCAGTTCCTGCCTGCAGACCTACCACCCAGGAAGAGAAGGTGGGAGAAGTCTGGTAGGTAGAGGCTAGAAAGGAACTTAACGAGGTCCATCCCCATCCCAGAGCGCCTGAGTAGAGGTGACCTCCCTCCCACAAAACAGCTGAAGTGGATACAAGGAAGAGGCATGTGTGCAGTGGCAGGTGATCCATACAGGCTTGTTAGCTGAGGCAGGGGTGAGTCTGGAGGTTCACAAGCCCCAGCACAGGAGTAGCGGAGGGTCTCGGGCTCTGACAAGCTGTGTGAACTTGAAAACGTCACTTTGTCTGGTTCTCAGTTTTTAATCCAAAAAGTCAGGGTTTTGAGTTCAAAGTGCATGGCAAATACAGCTTCCTGGAGCACGGGTGGGAAGGATTGAGAAGTGACAAGCTGCTCCAACTGAACAGAAGAGTGGCTCCTGGCAGGGGGTGTCCAGAGACCTCCATGGTCTCGACAAGCTCGAGGCAGAGGTTATCCCTGGGAGGAGGTAGCCTTGACCAGGTCCCTGACTCTGGAGCCACCTGGCCTCTGGCACGTCCTACAAATGCGTCTCCTTCTCCCAGGCAATGAGTTCTCGCTTAGCTGGCGAGGGCGAACAGTTCTGAGCAGAAGTGCCATCCTGAGGTGGACGCCGCCCCGGCTGGGGCAGACTGGGGTCCGGTGTGATGAGTCTTTGAAGGCGCTGTGGAGAAGAGAAGTAGAGGCTGAATGAGCGCTGGGGTGAGCAGGAGGATGCTCTTGTGGGGGTGTCCTCAGGCACAAAGCCAGACACTTGGGGCTACGTGAAGGATGGTTCTGATTTGAAAATGGACCATGAGAGGTAATTAAGAGTGTGAACTCCTGAGTCCCAGTTCTGACTAGACTGCCTAAGCAATCTCAGGTAACTCACTTAAGTCTTCCATCCCTTTAGTCCCCTCACTTTTCTCATCTGTAAAACGGGGGTAACAAGAACACCTTATGGTACAGTTCCTATCACAGGGCAAGTGACAAATAAATGTCATGACTGTCATTAATACCCTTCTATTACCATTGGTATATGCCCTGCTAAGTGTTTTCCCAGTTATCTGTGGTACTACTACATTATGATGTTATTTTTTTGGTGTGTCAACACCGCCCCCCCCCTTTCTGGCCCTGAATGTAGCTGTGATGATGGGAACTGGGAATCCTGACAACCTCACTGTGACCAGGAAGTAGTAAGCAGGACAATGGAGAGACATGCTCAGGATGCAGGTGTGAGGATACAGGAAGAGTCTGGACCCCAGTGGCCTCTCCGCAGCCAATCCAAACGCCAGCAGCCCTCCCCCCCATCTCTAACCCTCCTGATACGTAAGAATTCAAGAAGCCCATTTGCTTAAACTGCTGTAGATCGGCTCTCTATTACTATTGGATAGTCTGACTTTGACAGATATATTTAATGTCTTTATGGGTCATTGGCAATGGCTTCTTCCAGGAAAGGCATACCCCAAACTACACAGGAGCCATCTGCTGTACCCCAGTTGGGGCTACAATAAGCAAAGAAGCCGGGAGCCAGGGTGTGCTTGGCAGTTTTCCTAGATCCAGGATGTGTGTACTCTACATCTGGCTTTTTGGTCCTTATTTTCCCTCCACCATTAAGCAGTTTGCTCTTGACTAGCTAGCCTTTGAGATCAGCCTGACATCAGATTCTACAACCTAGGATTCCAGAGGCCTGCTCTTCAAAGGCCTTTAAGGTCTCCATGTAGCCACAAGGCTTTCCTATGTGGGGAAGTGGTATGTGCTCCTGGCCTAAGCCTCCCTCAGGGGCCTTCTCCACCGGCTCACCTCCACCACCACCTACCTTCTTGAAGGAACCCTGGGTCTGCAGAAGGGTGATGATGATGTAGAGTGGGACACAGGCCATGGAGGAGAAAGCCAAGAACCATCCAATGGAGTATCCCCAAGAAGGGTACACGTAGACATTGTTGTATTTGAGAGGTGTGTACTTGCTCAAGGAGAAGATGAATGTGGCCTAAAAGGGAGAGGGGCAGGATAAGACTGTAGCCACCAAGAGTCCTCCTTCCCTGGCTACACCGACAGCCAAGGACAGAGGACCACCCAACCATACTGAGGGGCATCTGAGGTAGGACAGTGTCAGTGAGTCATCAGTCACAGGTGGTGGGTATGGGAGTTAAATTAGAGCTCAAGGCAGATGGAGAAAGGCCTAGCAGGAAGAAGTAGGGCTGTGAGGGAGGACTGGAGCAGAAGGGAGACTAGATGGAGGAGGATGGAGGAGAGGCCCAGGAGAGACGGGAGAGCAGGGTCCAACCCCTCTGCTCAGGCAGGAAAGAACCCCCAGATCCCAAGTCTTCTACAGACAAGAGGGAGAAGGAACAATGGGTACGTACCAGGCAAAGACCAGGGGTCAGGAAGAGCCAGGAGATCTTCACCAAGGGCCATGGCCGGTAGCCAATCATGTCCTCAACGTTGTCATAGAAACGGTCCGCCCCTGAGCCAGAAAGGGTGAGAACCAGAGGTGAAGATAATTTCTTGACCTTTGGGAAAGACCCCTCACTTCCCCCAGCACTGCCTGTGATAAAGATGGCGGCACCGTAGGTAAAGAGATGCGGACCCACCCTCGCAGCCACAGAGCAGTGATGTTGGCAGAAGCTGCCACCCACAAGCTGTTGGACCAACCTCTGCTGTCCTGTCTAAGGATGAATAGCGTCTGTCCTATGCACACTGGAATACACAAGCCTAAAGGAGCCAACACCAGCAAATCCTTACTGGCCCACACCACAGAGGGGAGAAAAGTCCTGGGGATGGAGCTGTGGGCCTGATTCCCGACCTGTGGATTCCTCGCGCTCAGCCCTGCCAGGCTGGCTTGTGCTTAGTGAAGACACTGACTGGCTTTGCTTACGTCAACTGTCACACTGGCCCTCGTCTCGGGCAGAACCAGTCTCCTTGGATGTGAAGAACCTCTCACTGGCAGCCATGTCTGGGGGGCTCCTCTCACCCCAGCTCACTGCCTTCCCACTGACACTGACATATGAATGCCAGCCCTTAAAGGGCCACAGCTTTGACTGGTAAAGGCCAAAGTTCCAAGCCCAATATTGCCAGGAGGTGTGACATATCAGCTTCCCCCACCTCCTTGGTTGAGTTGATTAGAGCCGTCAGTACAAGAGGTGGAGGAGAATCAGGCAGATATCGAATGCTTAGGGTGGGGAGGTGGAAGCCAGCTCCAAGGCCAGGAAAGGACACCACAGGAAGTCCAGGGTTATGAAGTAAGAACCTCCTCATTCAGGCTTCCTCTGAGACCCTAATATGAGGTGGCTACTCATTCTGCCCTGAGCCTTGGGATGTTAGCACTATGTCCCTGACCTGTGGCAGAGACCACAGACCTAGACAGGAGACGACACTTCCGTTTAGTAGCTGTGTGAGCTCAGGCAGAGAGCCTTCTTTCTACCGCATGAGGCCGATTTGCAGATCTCGCAGTGTGTGGCATGTGACCTGCAAAGCGCAGTGCCTAGAACCCCAGCTGTTGCCAAGCATGAGGCACTGAGATTGCTACTGAGTGATCTCAGTGCTGCGGGGTCCAGGCCATCCCTGGAAGCCACGACACGACAGAGGTGACCTCGCTGTAGGAAAGCAATGTGTAACAGCAGCAATGGGGGAAACGGCCTTTAGAGCATGAGGACTAAGCCGTGCGGCGTTCCAGTGCTCAACAAAGCCTGCGTGAGGGGCTTGGCTGCCGGAAGGGAATGAAGGAATTTGAGGGGTGGGGTGGGGTGGTGGTGGGGAGGTATCAGGCCAAATGGCCCTAAATGTCCCCTCTGACCGGGATTCCGCTGAGGAAGGAAGCCTGCTTTGTCCTTGCCTTAACTCTAAGAGAGACATCGGGCCCCCAGGCCATGTCTGCCATCCCTAGGAAAAGGAATCAGGGCAGCCAGACCAAGACAGAGCCTGTCCTCATCAGCCTCGGAGCATCTTGCTCCTGCTCCATAGCCACCTGCCCCACTCACCGTATACCCAGCCGATGCAGACCACCTCAAACAAAGACAGGAAGAGCAGGCATATGCCACTGGAGGCGTAGTAGTCAAAGAGCTGGAAGATGTACATCCCGCCCTGCGGAGGAAGAGGGAGCTGAGTTCTGGGGAGGACCAGCCCCTGCCCCCACAGTGAGATGTGCTGGCCTGCCCTGCTCAGGAGAAACGCTTGACAGCTACCAGGCGTCTGCTCTGCCTGGTTCTGTGATCAGGAGCTACCATCAGCCTTGGGACAATGATTTCTGACATCCTCACGGTGCTGGGGCTGGGGGACCTGTGGTATATTGTCTGCACGGTATCCCCTTCTTGGTGGAACGGGTGCCCCTCACGCTGTTCCTTTTGGGTTATGGCAGTCCTCTCCTGTGTTGCAAGCCTAAGGAAGGATGTTAGCCTGAACACCTGTCAAACTCAAGAGGAAGCCTGATTGGCTGAATGGGGAAAGGGACCAGGAGCCGAAACAGCCTTCCTTGACATCACAGAGGGAAATCTGCCTGGGGGCCGAGTGACCCACGGAAAGGGAGGTGGGACACAAAAGGGAACGTGCCAGACAGTGTCGCAGGCAGATTCATGCATTTGACGGAAGCCAGAATAGCTCCAGACTTTGATGTCACGGACCCTGTTCAGTCTCCTTTGTCTTAGGGCACTTTGTGTGTGGCTCCCATCGCCAGCACTTAGATTCTAGTGAGTGGGACCTTCAACCTCAGCATGAGGGAGCAGAGAGGGTGTGAGCCCCCTGCCCCCCCCCCCCGGGCAGAAGGAAGGAATGGCTCTGAAGAGTCAGGAGTCCCACCCTGCCTTCTCACCTCAGTGACCAGAAGGAGCCCCATCAAGTAGCACACGATTGCAACACCCAGGATCAGCAGCTCACGCCGGCCGCCCTTCCGGAGCTGCTGGGGGAACATGTCCATGGAGGCGGTCACCAAGCACTCCATACAGACAAACTGTGGGCCGGGAGAGTACAGGAATGAGACAGCTATCCATCCAGGGCCTGGGTCTTCCCCAGCGCTAACCCCACATGACCCTGCCAGGCATCATTCTATTGGCCTACACTGGTGTGGGAAGGGGGGCAGGGACAGTGGCAAGCCAGCCATTCCCTCAGCTGCAACTTCCTATGAAGGAATCCCAGTAGGGAAGGTTGAAATCGGGGAGAGGCTCTGTACCCCAAAGCTACAGGATGGGGCTGGACCATGAGGCTGGAGATGAGCCTCTGTAGAGCATCTGGGAGAGTGCCCATGTACAGGGGGAGGCTCAACTCTGAGAAAAAAATGGCAAGCCCTTTCAGAGCAGGAGCTCTGGAGGCCTGGGGCCACCCATCAGAACCCAAGGCAAAAGATTTGAACCAGAGTGAAGCCTCTGGCCCATGGTCAAGGAGAAGGTACATGAGGAAAAGTGATACCAAGAGAAACAGTAGCTGAAAGAGGGACCCAGGACAAAGGTTCCATACCTGGCTGTCCAGCCCTAGAAACAGGAGCATGATGAAGAAAAGGCAGGACCATAGCTGGGACAAAGGCATCATCGTCACAGCTTTGGGAAAGGCAATGAAGGCCAGACCAGGACCTGCCAGGTACACAATACAGCGGCTGTACTTCAAACCACTCGCTACCTGAAGAGGAGCCCTCTCCTTGGCACTGTGTGCATGCAGGAGTTCCTGGAGCATCTCTATGCATTTTGGCATGCCTACAAGTGCCAATGAGTGTCTGTGAAAGGCTGTTAGTGTCTATGTGTGTCTGCGAACTTCTGTGCGCGCGCGCACGTGCGCGCGTGCGTGCGTGCGTGCGTGTGTATGTCTGGAAACTTGTGTCTGTGAGGATCTCCTGTGCGCCTTTGTGGGCCTCTGTGAAGGTCTGTGTGTACTGTGAGTGTCTATCTAAAAGTGTCTGTGTCTATGATCATCTATAGGGTCTATGAGAATCTACGCCTGTCTATTAGCATCTGTTAGTGTCTGTGCATGCCTTGATGTGTATCTGTGAGCGTCCATGAGTGTGGACTTCAGGGATTTTTATGTGTTTCTGTGTTCATTTATGAACGTCTGAGTGTGCGTGCATGTGTGTGTGTGTGTGTGTGTGTGTGAATTTATACATATGACTCTTTGTGAATGACTAAATACATCTATGTGCTTCTGTGAGCATCCGTGAATGTGAATGTCTGTGACTTCCATATGTCACTGAGTGTCTGTGTCTGTGAGTATGTACTTCTGTGATCTACATATGTCTCTGTGTGTCTGTATCTGTGAACATCTGTATGGATCTTGAGCATATTTTTTTGAGTGTCCACATGAGTATATGCTTGTGAGCACCCATGTGTGCCTGTGAGCACTTGTGGGCATCTCGTGCATCCGTGAGCCTCAGTGTGCAGACATGTGGGTGAGCTGCTTAAGGGAAGCAAGTAAGTTCATTCTATGTTCTACCTGGGACAAAGCCTCATATATGCCTACATTCTCTCTCCCCCTCCACCCGTCTGTCTCTCCTGCCCTCCCTCTCTTCTTCCTGCCCTCTTCTCTTTTCTTCTCTTCTATCCCACAGTTCTAGAAGCTTCATTTATGCCACACAACAACCCCTCCATCCCAAGCTAAAAAGGGTCCTAGCCCTGGTTTCTGGGACTCCTCCCGATCTGCAGGAGGGATCTGTGTTCCCTGACTCTCCTTCCCAGAGTCCAGGGAAGTGTGTGGAGAGTGTCCCCTACCTGACTCGGCCACTTCAGAAATGGGTATCCCCTGCTCTTGAGACATGAAGCCCAGGATGGAGAAGACGACAAACCCAGCCACGAAGCTGGTAGCACTGTTCAGGAAGCAGAGGGCTATGGAGTCCCTGTGGGGATAAATGAGGTCAGACAGAGAAGGGGAAGAAAAGAGAATGGAGAAGAGAAAAAAACAATCCAAGAAGGAGAGATCAAAAGGCAGAAAGCAAGAGAGGAAGAAGAGGAAGAGAGATGGAGAAATCCAGAAGGAAGATGGGAAAGCAAGGAACGTGATATAGCAGAAAAAAAAAAGAAAAAAGAAAGAAAGAAAACCAGACGCACCAGATGTCAGGGGAAGAGGGGACCAGGAAAGGGGTGGGCGAAACCGGGTCACGGAAAGGTATGCACTCAGGTGTGGCTCGGCCCCCAGAGAGGCAGGGTCGCCCTCGCCTGCCCAACCAGGCAGCTCTCACCTGTAGCAGTTGTTGTGGTACTTGTTATAGCTGCCCAGGGCCGTCAGGCACCCCTGGCAGATGGCAAAGGAGAAGAAGATCTGGGTGCCCGCATCCATCCACACCTACGTGAGGCCCAAGAAAGTAGTAGGGTAGAGGCAACGAGGGCTGGGAGCTGTGGCTAGCAGAATGCAGACCCTCACTACAGCACAGCCCACCTCTTAATGTCTCACACAGTATCACGCCTGCATCCTGCTCCCCAGGAGCTAGCCCTCCCCTTTCTCCACAGCCACCTTCTCACGGGCAGGACCCATTTTCGGTTTGGCTCAGTGATTACTCAGGAAGCATCAAGTGTGTGTAGGCTACTTCATTCCGGGCAGCATCGACACAGCCAGGTGTACCTGGACCCGGTAAAGTGAAGGGTCCCTGGCATTGCTTCCGCCAGTGTGTCTGCGTGGCACCTTTTGAACTATGACCTGGCTACCTCATAAAAATAGAAAGAAATCCACCAAGATGTCTTGGAGGAAGAAAAAAAAAAAAAAAAAAAAAAATGTGCTCGGACAAGTCCAAGAGGAGGAAATGCAAATGGCCAATGAGAAAATGCCCAGCCCCACCTGTAGTGATCAATAAAGTAAACCTTAAAGGGGTAAGTGACTTCTGGGTCTGCAAAGTTACCAAAGAGTAAAATCAGTTCTAACTGGGGCTGGGTTAGTGGTCCTGGCCTGAGACTCTGAGTTCAATCCTTGTAACCAGGTTAAAAAGTCAGGCATGGGGTATACACTCCCCAGCCAGGCAGCCTAAGTCCCATCCTGGTGACAGACACACAGGATGGGGATGGCGGCCATTAACCAACCCTCAGATGGAAAAATATCCAGAAAAAAATTGTACCTGTCCTAACAAGGACCAACCTTTTTCTTAGCACCGTTCCCTGTATGGACACAATAGAACGCCTGTTTATAGAAAGCTGATATTATGGTGTTAGAAGAAATCTAGAGATAATTTTACGGGGGTGGTATGATGAGCTTCAGGCAGACACAAATACTACACCATTTCTAATGAGAGACCTGGGAGCCCATGGGTATAATGTCATGGACAATCACCCTCAGATACTGATAGACTGTCTATTTAAAATGTAGACCTCACCTCAGTGTCTGAGGTCAGGGCTCAGGGTTCAGCAGGGCAGGGAGATGGCCTGTTTGCTCCGCTGTTCTACCCCGGCAACAGCCTGTACCTAGCCATGAAGAGGCCCTCGGGATATTTTTGTTGAATAAATAATGTTTGGAGGAAATACTATACAGAAACTGAGGTAACATTTAAAAGTGAATTTAATAGCATGGAAAGGCTCATAATATAATTCAAATCAAAAGGATCTACTTTTCTAAGTAAAATTATCTCGATTGTGTTCACACATGCACCCCACCTGGGAGTGGGGAGCAGACTAAAATGCTAATCGTGGTGACAGATTTTAGGAGCCTTCCCGTCCTTCCTCACAGTTTTCTTCTAAGATATCTAATTCTTCTCCAGTACACATCTGTTTCTTTTAAGCCACAGGAAAATCAAGGGAAGACTTTGAAAGTATAGTCTAGTCTGGTGAGGAGGGCACATCTCCATTAACAGTCCCCTTGCGGGCGGTTCCCACCTGGGGGTCCTTGAGGCGCAGCAAGTCTGGCTTCAGGTAGAAGACGATGCCCTGATAGGCTCCAGGAAGGGTGACGCCCCGGATGAGGAGAATAATCAACATCAGGTAGGGGAAAGTGGCTGTGAAATAGACAACCTGGAGGGAAAGCAGGCCAAAGTCACTCCTGGCATGGCTACCCAGAGGCAGGGAGGAGGCGGGGAAAGGCAGGGGGAGGCAGGGGAGGCAGGGGGAGGCAGGAGGAAGGCAAGGAGAGGCAGGGGGAGGCAGGGGAGGCAGGAGGAAGGC